AGTATCGTATTGTGGTCGACCCGCACGTCCAAGCATCTGAAGGACATCTTGAGGGCTGAGCTCAACCCAACTACCCTTCTCGGGAGAGTACACCTGTGTTCCCTTGATGACAACTGTATGGGCAGGCAAGTTCACACCCCAAGCCAGCGTAGCAGTACACACCAGGACCTGGATAGCACCATGGGCAAAAAGGTTTTCAACATCTGTCCTGTCAGCTCGGCTCATACCAGCATGGTGGATGCCGAAACCATATGGCAGAATATCCTTCAAGTCTTGGTCGGTTGCCTGGGAAGACGCTTCATTGAGGACCTCACGGCTACCAGCATCGTGACGAAGGATCTGGTTGATTGTGTCTGACTCAAGGGCCTTATCGCGGATGTAGCGAGCAGTCTTGGCAGTCTCTTTTCGGGAATGCACGAAGATAAGCATCTGGTTACGGTTTGCGCCCACATGCTCGATCACCTTGTTGTAGCAGACGTCGTTCATGGTCTTTAGCTGCTTGATAGGTTTACGGTCAGTGACGCCAACAAACTCCTGTCGCAGAGGACAGGGTCGGAAAGATCCATCAAAGTGGAAGAGGCCCTTCTTCGTGTCCACTCGCAAGAAGCTCGCGACATCTTTGTAGTTGGGCAGTGTGGCAGAAAGACCAATAATTCGAACTGGCTCGCCGGTTTGTTCAGTCTTGCGGATGGTTCGGCTGACAATGCTTTCCAGTACAGGGCCACGGTCGTCATGGAGAAGGTGGATTTCATCGATAATGATGAGGCGCACGAGGTTGGTGTAGGTCAAGTCATTGGACTTTCTGGTGATGACGTCCCATTTCTCGGGGGTTGTGACGATGATCTGCGTCTCGGCGATTTGTTGCTTGGTAAGTTGACGATCACCTGTCAATTCTGCGACTCGAATACCATAAGGTTCGAGCCTACCACCCAGATTGCCGACCTGTTCCTGAACTAGGGCCTTCAAAGGAGCGATACAGACGATCTTAAAGGCGTCTAGATCGATATCGCCGGTCTCAGGGTTGCGATGTTTTCCAATCTCCCGGAGAATAGCGAGCATACCAACATTGGTTTTTCCACTACCGGTAGGGGCACAAACAAGCATATTTCCATCGTCGTCGAATGCTGAAGGATAGCACTTGGACTGAATCTTATTCAAGGACTGGTTCTTGCTAAAGGGGTTTCGTGACCACTCCGGCATATCAGAAATGGGTATCAAGACATCGCCGGGCTCATTGCGTTTCTTAGGAGTAGGGATATGAATTTCTTCATAGCCCTTGAACGTCCTCTTGGTTGAGCCCTCTGGTAGCCGGACCTTGGGGTTTGTCATAAGGTGATTTCCTTGATCGAAAACCAGATTATCTAGGTTGATTAGCTTTCGAGGCTTAAGTCCGCCGACAAGTTGGCCCTCGGCACGTTCAGCTTTGGGTCCATCTGTGGTAAAGGAAGCTGGGACATCGATATCCATCTTGATATCAATCTTGCCCCTCTTGCCCTCGGCAGTGTCTTTACCATTGAGTTCATTGAGAATCCATTGGAGACCCTCTGAGACCATTTCGCGCTCAACATCAGCGTGCTCTTCGGGAGTCTGTGTTCGTGCTAATTTTGTAAGCCAGAAAACCTTCTCCCTGTTCTCAACAAGCTTCTGAACCAACTCATGGTGCTCGTAGTCGAACAGCTCCATGAGATCATTCTCAACATCGCGTAAGGACTTTTCCTCGCCATCCTCACCAGGTTCTCCTGACAGGATCTTCAGAGCCTCCTTTGTTTTGTCGCTTTGCTCATGAGCGTCGGGGTATAGAGTGCCGATTTGTCGTTGTAGCCAAAATGTATCGATGTCTTGGGCTGGTATGCTATGCTTGTCTTTCTCGTCTTGTTTGCCACCTGAAGGCGCCGAGTCGAGAATCATCTCATCCCCAACATCAGCAACAGCATCTTCTTCCTTGCCTTCAGCAGTCTCTGTCTTCTCTTTCTCTTCCTCCTCCTCCTCCTCTTCGTCCTCTGAAGATTCGTCACGGACTTCATGAACAAGGCCCCCTTCGTCATCCTCTTCGTCTTCATCGAACGCGACCGCGACGCCCTGGCGCTCGTCTATTTCAGCATCATCGCCGTCGGCGCCACCCATCGCAACGTCCTCGTCCTCGTCATGGGTGTAGTAATCTGTGATCTTCTTGCCGAGGTTCACCAACTCATTAAATTCCTTGGGGTTTAGTGTCACACCCAAGATATCGTCGATTTCCCTCTTTTTATCCAGGTCTTTCATATCATCGTCCTTCAGAAATTCCAGGGCGGCATCCGCTGCGCTACGAACCATGTCGTGGGGTACGTCGCCCAGAGTTTTCGCCACCGAGGTAAGGATGAGATCGAAAGTCTGTCGCGTCGCTGCTGTTCGGGGCCGGTATGTGATGCCTTCCACCAAAGTTTCGTTGGCTCCGAGGATACCTATCGATTGAGGCGCCTCTGCCTTCCGTTTGCGCTGTTCTCGTGCGAGGATATCTTCGCCTTCTCTTAGGCTGCCTCGCTCGATCTCGGGGAGTCCAGGTTGTTTCTTCGGTTTTGGCGCGTCATCGCGTGCAACTCGAGCACCCATATCTCGAATACTCAAGCGGCCGGCCAGCGACTCTGGATCACCAGTAGCCTCATCGGTTCGTCTTGTAACGAATCGACGATCGGCCTGGAGAACCAGGTTCGACATAGCCGAGTACTTGTACTGCGACACATCTCGATTTGCGTCGGACATGATGGCTAGACTAATATTATGTTGAATTGATAGAGAACGTCGATGTTCTCGACAAAGCTCGGGGCGCTTGGCACTTAAATAACCATGAGTTTGCCACCGACGCGCTTAATTCAGATAGATAGCCGTTGCCTGGGTACGCTGTAGTCTGCGATTGGTGCGCAGTCGTTTTGTAAAGATTTGTAGTTGTCTCAATGTTTGGGAGTTCAAGTCGCGATCGTAAATTTCGGATCTCAGCCTAGCAGGCTACTACGCTAGGCCAGGTTCGGATAAGTGCCTGTGTGGCGCAAATGCATACGGGGCCAGAGCTTATCTCATAATTTATGCTTCGTTATAGATTTGAGTGATTATAAGACTATAAAGAGAATTATTTCGGCATATAGACTCTGACTATAATGGAAAGAAATATTTTATGATTATAATTTATTATGTAGTGACCCTGTTGTTGGTTCAGGGGAAACACTAGCCACACCTCAGCACTGTCTGAGCTGCCGCCCATGGACTAATATATTTCGTCTATTTACTTTCACCGAGACCAGAGCAACAAACCTAGGCCAGGGATTTCTTCACCGACAAACGATGATTCACAATGGCAAAATCTTCTGAGACCGCTGAGACATTTCAGAAGACGCTTGATCCATATATCAAGCCACGGGAACAAGTGAACTACATTCGGCGAGTTTTGGCTCTTCATCTCGGAACATGTTCTCATGATGGCCCAGTCAAACAGCCTGTGTCTTTGGCAGATCCAACTCGCGACGTAACTCTGGATCCAAGTTCGAAGGGAATCTACAGGGAGTACATTGAGGCTCTAAAGGCAAATGTTGAGGCCCGTCGAAATTACGAAGATGCTGCCCAATCTAATCTTCCCTCCTCGTCATTAGCCAAAGAGCTCTCATCCAGCAATGAGCTACTGGAAGAGCAGGTCTCACTTCTGAAGCTCCAGGCGAAACAAGCGCGACTTACAGCCGTCCAAACTCACTTGGACTCGCTCATGCAAAAGCCAGCCGCTGCTCCTGAATATCTAGACCCTGAAGATGTTTTTCATGATGCTACCAGTCTACCGAGTGTTCCAAAAGAGGTGGTGAACAGTCTTGTCGCACAACAGAGTGTCAAGAAGACGGACCTGACAGAACAAGTGGCACAGCTTGAAAAGACGGTCTTGAGGGCTAAACTCCTTCTGCGACGAGAGGAGCAGCTACTTCGGGAAACAAGAGCAAATGCTCAGAGCATACCAGATGTCATCAGCAATGGGATCAGACTACATGCTCTCAACACAACAAGGAATGAGCTTATCAATTGGATTGAGACAGAGTTGAGCAAGGCATCAGGGGATGACGATGGGGATGAGGACGGCTCCAAGGGGCATAGCCAATCAACAGCGGACCAAGCGACGATAAACGACCATCTCAGCAACATCAAAGAAAAGTACGCCACTTATCTTGCAACGAGGCGGTCCCTCCTCGCTTCTGCTGGTGCACGATTCGAGTCATCGGCTGTTCCCGTTCTGGCACCCTCCTCCACCAAGCAACAAGTTGAGGAACCAGAACCTGCATCAAGTACCTATCTCCTGACCCCATACATCGAGACTCTCCTTGCCCTTTCCCAAAAGCAGAGGGCCATGATAGCACAAAAAGCACATGTAAATACGACACTCGGGAAAGAAATCAAGGATAATTGTCAGTCGCTCAGTCATTTGGAAGAAGAAAGTCAACTGCTTCCATCTCATTCGGTGGCACCAACGTCTCGGAGGAGGTCTGGACTGGGAGAGTTCCTTGCGTCAGACGAACGCTCAGGTCTGACAGGCAAGGTACAACCTTGGGTTCTCGCTACAGATTCGGCCAAGATTACTACGCTAGAAAATGTGGCAGAGCAGATTGAAGGTGGACAGCTTGCGTTGGAAAACTCAATGCAGACTCTACAAGAGATTGACGAGCTTTTGGGTCAGGACGAGGTGGCTGAGGAAGCAGAAACACAAGCCGATACAACAGAGGGTGACGTTTGGCTTGAGGGAGGTCCCAAATCCCCAAGCAAGGCGAGAAGGCATACAGAGAAAGGAATCACAGAGCCGAGAGATGCCTGGTCTAGTCTGCAAGGTAACCTCGGATTAATTGGTCAGGGAGACGCAGCTCAGGATTAGAATAACAGCGACAAGTACAATAGATGTCCGGTGATATCGAGCCAGTTTAAAACGCCAACCCATTTCTAGCCATGACTCCGTCCCTCATCTCTTGATGCAGCACACTAGATACAGAGCCGATAGCTCACTTCTTCGACATGATAGTCGATATCCTCACTGACAGGTCGAGGATAGAGAGATGCTCATCTGCTCCATCTACTAATCGCTTGTCAACTTCTGAGAAAACCAACACGATCTTGTTTTTCTGTGCATCGGGTATCGTCTCGTCGTATGTTAAGGCTTGGTAGAGCTGTCACGGGAGTTATTAGCAGCAGTTCGGTGATACAAAGGATAAAACTTACTTGGTTGACCACTTGACCTGCGCTCCAGCCATCTGCAACTAGTTTCTCAACGACGTCCGAAATGATCTGGTAGGAGGATCCTGACTTCTTCGGACGTATTGCTTTGAGGAGATCCTCGATGGTCGTGTCCGGAATGACACCAGCAATGTCCTCAACAATCTTGACTGTGACCGCCTTCTTGTCCACATCCATCACCTCGTCACCCTCACCCTCAGCCTCCTTGTCCGGTGCATTGGCGCTAACGAGTCGAGCAGCACTTTGCAAGAAAGTAATGGCTTTTCGAAGATCACCCTCACTGCACTTGATGAGTGCATCAACAGCGCCGTCCTCGAGTGGCACGCCCTCCTTCTCTGCGATCTCCTCCAGTCGCTTCTTTGCATTGCTCTGGTCGAGACTCTTGAAACGAAATTTGCTGCATCGACTAGCAAGCGGGTCGATGATTCGAGTCACATAATTGCAAATGAGACAGAATCGAGTAATCTTGCTGTATGTTTCCATGGTTCGTCGCAGTGCGCTTTGGGCATCTTGTGTCATGGAATCGGCCTCGTCGAGGATAATGATCTTGAAGGGAGGGCAAGGGTATTTGTCCTTGTAGCCGGGGGCCGGGTTGATCAATTGCATTCGCGCAAAGTTCTTGACCTTTTCTCGGACGATAGAGATGCCACGCTCGTCGGAGGCATTGAGCTCGAGGACTCTCGATTTGATCATATCGGGACCGTATAGTTCCTTGGCGAGTGCCAGAACTGTCGAAGTTTTGCCTGTCCCGGGAGGCCCGTAAAACAGCATGTGAGGGAGCTATGAAGGATTAGTATTGAAGCTTCTTGCAGTTCAGAGCAAGGGGGTATTGTACGTTGGAGGACTGCAGTGTCCGTTGGAGCACATCAACGGTATGATCTTGAGCAGTAACATCGCTGAGGGTCTTTGGCCGGCTGGTTGTGTTAAACCTCGAGTAATATATTGCATTTCGAGTTTCACGTACTATTTCTCGACCCAGGGTTGAGTTCGAGCATTTGAAGGTTTATCTTGCTTCTGGTCAGCGTTACCGTTGGCTGCCGCTGCTGCCTTTCTGGCCTTGAGGTCAAAAAAGCTAGCCATCTTGATTCAATTATATACTGGCTTGTCGGACTGCCTGTGGCCGAGCTTGTAGGTGAAGGCGGAGGATACCAGCGTGCGAAATGGTGATATAAAATCACCGACTTGCGTTGATGGGAGCTAAGGAAAACCAATTTACGCGTTAAAGAAACGCGCAGCGCGTCACCATTGGCAACCACAGCCACAGCACTTCCGTAAGGCAGCACCCGGCCGGGCCCACCTCTTTGAGCTCCAGGGTAAGGTAAGTACCTAGGGTAGGTATCCATAGGTTAGGTTAGTAGTTTCATGGTTTGATGTAAATGATAATTGTTGGCGCTCAGAATTCACAAGTGTGTATATGCATTTGCTACTTACAGTTTTACATTTCTTATGGGTATTTCTATTCTTTTTCTTTCATTCATTCACTCAGAAAGCAAGCAAAATAATGCCCAAATAAGAAGCCATGTTTTTGCAACATATGTACACACTCTGCATTCCCTGGCTCTTCCGTAGATTTCATGCAATCAACCAAATACCTACTCAGACATATCACCTAACTTCACTGAGAAGGGGGAGGGGAGAGAGAATCAGAAGAGCAAATAGAGTGATTAGACTTGGAAGTTGGTATGAGTTTTCACTTATCCCGTTATTTGTTAGGATACGGGCCTTGACCAGCAAACCCATGATATATCTCAGAGACAGCTAAAGCTCGTCCCAGCAAACAACGATCCACCTTACATGATGATGATGATTAGGAACGCTTGTCTAAGAAAATGCAAGGCACTGAACATAGCTACCTATGGTAGTAGTAGGTAGGTGCTGGATTGGGGTTTAATTGCTGTGGGAATCATAAACATTTGTCCTGATTGCTGTAATAAAGGCCGTAAATAGCTGTGAAGCAGAACAAAGTGAATAATAGCAACAGCATTTCCTTGATATATAACAAACATCCGTACTCACCTTTGGTCACTTCACTAATCTTTTAGTACCTAGGCACCTACTTACTTAGTACCTGCTAGGTAGGCAATAGGAGTCGTCTTTAGGTTCAGAAGTACCTAGGTACTCTGTAGATAGGACATTAATAGGCAGGTTTAACTTTTGTTGTCTGCCGATAGGTGTCTGAAAGCTGCCTGCCAGCCCCCATGAGCTTCCCGCCTCCCCCACTTTCCTCCTACGGTCCTAATGATTGATACCTGCTCACACAACCTACCCACCTCGAGACTCCAACATCTACCCTTACATTACCTTACGTTATACTTCACCTCACTTACCTTTTACCTTAGTAACTTGACAACCACCACTCAAAACTTCAAAACTTTCACACCAATAGCCTCACACTTGGAAGCAACTTGTCCATGTGCGTCGCACTCTGCAGTCAGCGCTCGTCCTCAAACGTCAACGTTTAGACTGCAACATACGAGGCGCCATGGACCAGTCTATCATTCGCATCTCCAAGGTTCGCTGCCCCGCATTCGCTGGCATTCCCATCCCTTCGTTCACGATTCCACCTTTGAGATACTAACACTATACCAAGGAGCTGGGTGACATCCAGAAGAACTGTGACTTGTGTATGTCGCTTTTGCCAAATGGCATATACCACGCATTCGAAAGAAGAAACTGACCACGCGACTGCCTTTTATTACAGCGCTCGCCGTAGCATGTCGCGACATCGATGTTCGCAATGTAAAGGCCCTGATCATGGGTCCCCATGAGACTCCCTATGAATTTGGGTTCTTCGAGGTATGTCGTGAGCGCTGCATTTATCCTTGTCTACGTGAAGATAGGCTGATTCAACTCGACAGTTTGCCATTCGGTTCCACAAAGGTAAAGTCCCCCCATACCAGGACAAAGCTTATAGTCTCATCTTCGGTGACAGAGTATCCTTCCAGATCCCCGAGTGTAGTCTGTGTCACCACAAACGGGGGACGTTGTCGCTTCAACCCCAATGTATACAGCAACGGGAAAGTCTGTCTGTAAGTAATCAGACATTGCTACTTCATTATACTCATGCGCTAACACGTTCAGGTCAATTCTAGGGTATTATAATTGTGTCGAAGATTAGGCGGTTGAACTGACAATGGCTAGAACATGGCGTGGTGAGCGTGGAGAGGAGTGGTCATCTGCACAAGGACTTGAATCAATCTTATTATCCATCCAAAGTCTCCTATCATCTAACCCCTACGAGAACGAACCGGGCTTCGAGGATGCCAATGATGAAAGCGACAAGAAAAACCAAAAGGATTATATCCAAAAGGTCTGTTGCCATTTCAAATTACAGGAGAACCCCTCTAACCCTGGTAGATTCGACACGAGACACTACGTATCAGTGTCATCCAACGTCTGGAAGGCTATCTCGGAATGAGCACCAGTGGCACCCAGTTGCACAGTCTTCCAGGAGCGAATGATATGGATGATGATGACATTGACGAGGCTACCGTCCCCTTCGAGCCTTTCAAAGATCTGTGCAAACGCCGGTTTCTTTGGTATTACGAATCATACCTCGCTGCGATCGAAAAAGGCAAATCAGAGACCAAGCCCAACCAGCCTTTTACAAGAATGCCGTTTGAGTCACCAGGAAACAACTCAATGGATGGGAAATTCAATTATCCCGAGCTCAGCAGCCGCCTGCATGCCATCAAGGCTGCCATCGACGCGGAGCCTGAAAAATGGGCCGCTGAGGGCCTAGAAGCTAAGAAGAAGGAGACAACTGTTGCTGTTAACCTTCAGCATCAGTTCGAGCAGGTTGTCGAAGTATTCAAGCGAGGTGATATGCCGCATGACGTTTTTCTCGAGAACGAGAACCCCTTCGTCTGGGTCATAACCTACTTCGGACGCCCTATGACCAACCTCGACGGTGGTCTGTTCAGAATCAAAATGAACTTCAGCGTCCGTTTCCCCGAAGAGCAACCTCGTGTCAAGTTCGAGACCAAGATCTTTCACCATCACATCGCTGCAGATGGTACAGCATGCTACACTCCGAACCCTATGAAAAGGGAAGATGTACGATCCCATATTGATGCCATCTTTGCGATACTTGAAGATGACGAGCCAGCCTATGACCCACGCAAAATTGTGAACCCGGAGGCGACCAAAATGTACTGGGGAGGAAGCCCAGACGACAAGAAGAAGTACAACCGACGTCTTCGCCGATCCGTACAGCAGAGCATGGAGTCAGTACCTAATCAAGATCCTGCAGTCATTCTACGCGCAAGCTAATCGACATTTACAGGGACTTCCCAGAGTAACTCGCGTGCTCCGTCAGGCTTAATACTAGGATTTTAGATGAAAACATCATGGGGCGTACTGGGCCAACATCAGGGGCATTGATCTAATTTACATGGCGTTGGGGGCCTGTGGTTTATGCTGAAATGACATGGTCTGAGGATTGGACCATTTCTTTAAAATGCAGTTGACTTGATTTACCGTGACCAGGTTGTGATACGTGTGGCACAATCAACACAAAGCTACTAGACATATGAGATACCAAGTCACTCTATTTCCTTGCCCCAGTGAAAACCTATCGATTTACTCTTGATTTGGGATTACGAAACCGCAGACCTTCCTATAATGAAGATGCTTTCTTCAAACACAAGGTGGATTGAGGCTCAGATATTCCACCGTTACCAGAATAAGTGATCGGCATAACTGTTTGCACTCTATGAAACGCCATCCATCTATCCTCTAACGCCGATATTTGAACATAATGTACCCATTGCATCCTGATTTCCGTCAAAAGACAATATTTCGAATCTGTGTATGCGATTTCTTTCGTAACTCATGGTGCCATCGTTTCTCATGACCTCCTACTCTTGGGCTTCTTGTTTAGACGCTCCTGGGTTGGGTTATAGGGCGCCGCCACGCCTTGGTACCTCTCTTGCTTCCCTTCACCTCTGAATTCGTACATGCCGTTTGCGCCAATCGTTGCTGGTGTACCCTGGTTGGGACGCGTGACTTGTTCGTTGTGAAGTTTGTCGAGGGAGTCACCGACCACAGCGTATTGCGACCAGTTGATGGGCGGGCAGCGAACCACATTTTGCGGCTGGGGAAGATTCGTCCATGCTGGTGGCTGGGTAGTGATGCGCTGCTTGGAGGACCCTTCACCGGGGTCTTGCTGATTGCCGCTGTCCTGACCGCTCATGGGTGTATCTTCATCGTCGCTGTCGCTATCGCCATCATCTGCAGGCGCGTTGATCTTGCCTGCGACAAGGTCTTTTATGAAAGCTTCAGGGTCCTGGACGGCTTCGTCTTTTGCGCGATTGAGGACCTGGATGTCGGCAGTGGCGCGCTGCCGCTGAATCTGTAGAATGGAAATCGCCGACTTGAGCGCAATGACGTCTGGGTTGGAATCAAAGGCTATTGGTTGAGGTGTGGGCGGTGGTATCGCAGCCTGGTCGGGCTGTGAATGTGTAAGGCTTGGACGACCGCCGGCGCCGGCGCTTGCAGTTGCAGTCGCGGGGCGTTGGGTAGGACGCAAGGGAGGTGTGATGGGGGAAACAGGCGGTCGGGTCGGAGAAGGGGGATTATTGCTGGGAGGGTTGTCGGCGTTGATTGTGAGGGCGGGCATGATCGAGTTGCGCCGCTGGAGAAATTGCTTTTGTTGACTCTGACAAAGGTGTAAGCTCTTGCGCAAGTTGAGCGTGAGCTAGGTACCTAGGCACCGAAGAACGGAGACGTCACGGGAGAGAGAGCTCCGGATGACGGCGGAGGAGGATGGAAGTGTGAATGGTCCAATAGGAACAAGGACGTGGGACACAGGACCGAAAATGAGGGAAGTGAGAAGAGAAGTGGACGGGACGGGATCGGGACGCTTGGTGAAAGCAGCCCAGGACATGGAACGGATGTCAGGTGTCTCAACAAGGTAATCGATCGGGCTGTCGTGAACCCTCTGAAGAAGCAGCTTATGGCGGGGTCATCAGCCAAGTCTGATTAACTAAGGTAAGGTAAGGACAGGAAAGGAGCGGCTTTTGGATGTAACGTCAGATGCATACATGTTATGTACATACCTAGGTAGCGGTCTATTTCTGTTGCGGAAGAATCGTGCAAGGGTTAAGCCAGTGCAACTACCTATGCACAGATACATATCGAGACCAAAGCGCATGAATGTGACGAGTAGCTTTGTTTTCAGAGAAAGCGCCAGGGCGTCTCCATTTACTAGGGGCATCGTGAGGTTTCTAGGCGTCTCAACCTCAGCTCAGTGAGCCTGTGTCTCGGTGCATCAGCAAAAGAGTGGACCACAGCGACCTTAAAACCGTGCCCATGGATATCCATGGACAGATGGCTAGGATGAACCCTGTTGAAAGATCTCCATAATTGTTTAACGATCGGACAAGATCTCGCGCCAGCTCCGATGCGAGTAAGCACAGACCATCCTATAATTTGGCCATCTGAGACATTCACTTCACTTCCGTTTCTCCAAAGGCACAAGCATAAACGAAACAGGGACAAGCCGGCTCTTTATGCTGCAGGGCACGCGTTTTTAGAGGGATATATGTAGACTATGTATGGTCTTACAGGATCAAAATGACGAGCTCTTGTCATACGTCCATATGCACTAAAGTGGCGTTGATATCACAAAGCTGCCTTGACAGGCTGAAATTGATTATTATTCCCTCGAGACTCGAGAGACACAATGTCTCAGCTATGAAGAGGTGAGGAGGGAGGCGATTCTTTGGACTTTCTGACTGCGTATTAGCGTATGCAGGAAAGAAGAATAGCTTTAAAGAGTTGAATAATAGGGAGAATGTCTGAGCACCCATGGAGGTCAAATCGGAGGCCTTTCTGAGGTCAACATGGCTTGAGGTCTAAGGACGTTACATGCTGAGCACTTGGGCGGGCACTTGCATCTTCGCCTCTTGCCACGCTCAGCTCGATGGCTAGGTAAGGATGGGTGACGTTTCTATCCCCCGGGTGCGAGCCAAGTCATCCATCCTGTTAGGTTCAAACGTTGAACCGAGATTTGTCGATCATTTGGTCTCGACTCCCATTGTACCAAGCTCTCGGAAAGCCTCTGAACACAATAGGTCTCAGACATGCTGCCGTATCCAAAAAGAGCTCCAAAGTCAGACTTCTGGCTTGATGTTCGTGCGCCATCTCAGCCTTTGTGCAATGGCGGCCTTGCGCTCAGCCAATATGGCTTTGGCTTTGTCTTTGTGCACCAAGACACGGCATTTTCCAAGCCTTCGTAAAAGACGTTACTGGTAGTCAGGGGCATGGGAAATAAAAGTGGGAGACGATAAACTCTGTTGGGGACTTTGTACTGTAGAGCAATCCGAAAATGTCTCCAGCCAACGGAGCACAAGTCCGTTAGTGTCGTGCAGTAGTGAACTCTGTTAGCAAACACCATTATGAGCCAAGTACTGGGTACCTACCTGTAGTTAGTAAAATGATTTGCATCGCAAGATTCAGTTCAGCATGTGCTTCATCAAGATGATGGTTGTTGACTTTTCAAAAGCTTAACAACCTGATCGACACATCGAGTGCCATGAATAACCGCATGCCGCATAATTAATTGCTTTTTCTGTACCACTTGATCTAAGGTCCAGCTAGCCAGCCACCCAAACATCAACGTGAGATGCTGCAGATTTCCGGTCTGGTTAATGATCGTCAGTAGAGGCGTTTAACACTTTTGGGCTATTAAAAAACGGTATCCTCGGGTTGTGAAGATAGTCTACACTTTGACGCCTTTTACTAAGACACGGCCTCGCAACAAGAACCAGATCAGCAAACGGTGCCTCGGCATTCAGCACTAGCATATTATTTTCTTACAGGGCAAATTCATCTGTTGAACTCGCCGTCGAAGCCACCAACCCATAAACATTCGGAGACAACTTCGACTACTGCAGAGACCAAGACAAAGCCACAAGGTCTCGCCGTTGTATCGTCCCGCAAGAGGGTCCCCGGCTTCATATCAACTCACATCCAATCAGAAGCCCAAGTGAGCAATTTTCGTGTTGGGCCCTTCAGCTCGACATAGAAACTAGACCGAGATTGGATATCGTAGACCAGTTTGTGAGGGGTGTGATGGAATCGAAGTGACGCTGAAGGCTTGTGACAAGGAGGCATGGATGGATGGATGGGTAAGGTAATGCAATGCAATGCACGTCAAGTACCTCTGCTTGTACTATTGGACGCTGCCAAGGTTGGTTATTGGTTTTCCTTCTTATGCTATGGAACAAGGTCAGTACTTTTGGATAACTGAAGGGTATGTGACTCTGCAACTCTCACTTGAAATCCCCTCTACCCCGTGATTGTTTCTCCGACTTGACATCTCCATCATCCATCACTCATCCTCTCAACCCGAGAAATACCTCTTATATTTTCCCTTGCCGCTCCTTTCCTTGTTTCTTCCACTTCCAGAAGCAATAGTTCTACTTCACATTCCATCTATCGGGCGATCCTTTAGCTGCCGTCGGCAGTGCTTCCATTTATGCTGTGCACGACTCGCGCACTTGCATCATCCTGCCACTACCGCCGTCGACGTTCAACGCCAAAGGTTTGGGGCCACACAACCATCGCTGTTCCACCTGTTCCTGCATTTGCCAGTATCGGATTTTCAGAATTCCTGCCAAAGGAGAATACCTCTTAAGACCTCGAGACCTCTAGGGGCGACATCACCAAGATCACCAGCACCACATGGTTGAGGACTATGCCTAATCTAGATACGCGCGGCCTCTCAAAATATTCATTTATTCAAGGCATATCCTGAAAATACCGGGTGCCATATCCTCCCTTCACAGGCCTATACAGGCCGTTGGATCTTTTAACCCGACCGACCGCTTGGCCTATACATCAAAGACCCTCCACTAATCCATATCATTTATCAAATTTCCAACTTGACTGTTGAAATACACTCAGCTTGGTGGTTCTTACGAGCCTCACATACATCAAATCATGCCATCTTCTACCAGATCAGCCACAGACACACTTGTCAGTCCCAGGTCATCAGCTTTCATACCACGCCACCCACAATCTGAATATGACCCGTCTCTCTGTGGAAACGATAGATCAAGGACTTCCATGTCATCAACAGACACGAGAAAGTCTAGAAAGGAGAAATCACGATGGTTCACTCAGGTCAAGGATTGGTTATCAGTGGCCGAGCCATCAGCGCAAGCCATGAAGGAACAAAAGAAGAACACATACAGACGGCACAATATCGACATGAAGGATCCTCAAGCGGCAATCAAGCTGCATTTGCCTATTGGCAAAATACCCGACAACGCCATCACTTCGACACGGGGACCCAGCCCCGAGAAGGCACTTGAGCGTGCGCGGCAGCAACGAGAAGAGACGCAATCATATTCAGGTCTCAGTCAAGCGTCTCACTCGGTCCCGAGTAGTATCAGTACCATCCCCAGTGCCAAGGAGTACAACCCTGTTACTCCTTGGGACAATTGAGGTCAGAAACAATATCTTTTAATGGAGTAATGTGTAACGATGTATGAAATAAGGAGATTGGGATCTATACGCTGGTTACTTTCCTCCGTCGTAGATGCTAGAGGTTCATGTGGAATGGGGTCAAAAACGAGAGATACAGAGATACCCTGTCACGATTGCGGGAAGATGGATGATTTGTAGCGTACTCATTTTCACTCTTCAATTTGCTGCTCACGATACGGACTTAATAAATAATGTTGGGCGTATGGCTTTGATGCTATCATTACTCTTGCCAAGAAGTGATAATTCCTCCAAGACACCTGAGAGGTATGGACACTTGAGACCTGAGAAATCAAGCACGGGCACCCTAGAGTACGTAGTACTAAGCACCTCCGTGTCCATCATCTCAGTCAATGAACGATATGAACGTCTCATAAACAGGACTTTGATTAAGTATTTGCCGCCATGGACGCAGTAGAAATAAAGTGGACTTGTAGTGAATTTATTTTGTGAGATATTCTTGATTATTGTGTTGTGATGTTGTACCACCGTCATTGGGGACACCAACCTACTGGCGGAATGATTGCGTGGTAACTTGCAAGATGGCAAATGCCGAGAAGAGTCGGGGAGCCGACTGATTACATATTATTTAATACTGACTTGAAAGCCGTAACAAGAAGTCCGTCATATGATCTGGAGCATGCATGTGATGGTAAACGACGCACGGAACTCAAGATACCTACCTACCTTATCCTTCACCAAGTCACTTTACGACGCATCATTGCGATCTTCCTCCCTTATGATGATGGCCAACTCAATTGCTGCCCTGTTTTTGCAATCGGAAACACAAACTAAAACTCTTGATCAAGTGGCCATGCCAAACCGCAATTGTTTTGGGGAAAAGCCAAGCTTCAGCTCCAAGCTCTATCTCCCGGAAGCTTGTGTCCGCACTAGTACTCCCTGGTGAGCTTTTGACGATGATGATTGGCCATGTTGAATCCGGGAGCTTAAATGGCTGGCCTATGACGTATTCTACTTTTTAGCCTCTTCATCATGGGGTTTATATAGAACCCAGGGACAAGTTTGAGATCAAGGGAATCATCTGAAATTGAATAGGCTTTTTTCTATGAATGGTATCTTGCGTGTGTCACTAGCGATTGATTTCTGACAGAATAGTCCACTCATATT